CTTTTTCTAATGTGGCAAGAGATGCTGGCTGAAACAGAGCACCCATTCAAAGTTCCTAATCTAGTAATGTAATCTGAGCACATGGCAAGACAGCAGCGTTTTGAACCAGTGATGACAGCAAAATGATAATTTAGCAGCATTTTAAGCTCAGATACAGTGAAACTTCTGTATAATTCCATTACCAAAAATGTTAAATTTAAGTTCTGCCTTCAACCTACAGCCCACGGAAAGAGAGAATTAAGACGGAAATCTGGTGACCCTACTGAAAACCAGCCAAGACCAGGCAAAGTCCAGAGCAGCTAAGATCACGCTAATGATTCTTAGCATCGCTGCTGGCTCCTTAAGTGCCAGACCTGCCTTGCAGCTCTTCTCTAAGAGCCCCAAGTGCTCAAGAGTCAGTGAAACCCCTGAAGGCTGTGGGAGCTATTCAGAGCTTGCAGCACCAAGGCTCCCACCTTGTATTTCTCGCTGATGTCTCCTGGGGAGTTCTCAGACCCAGTGCTGGCTACACCAAGCAGCCACCTCCATCTGCGTCTGCAGGATGCCTGGAGCTGGCAAGGTCTGCTCAAGAGAGGGAACTTTCCAGGCTCCAACTCCAACCCTTTAGAAGAGCTGTGTGTTGTAGCCCTGCAAACCCAAATGTACACCCCACAGCACCTCAAACCAGCATTCCTGTAGCTTCACCCTGGGTGTGAAACTCCTTAGAAGTGCTCTGTCCTGAGAGTGCAGGGTAGCAACCATCCTGGAGCCATATTCTTCTTTGTTTGCTGCCTGGCTCTTCGGCTCCTGAGCTTGTTTTTTCTAATAAAAATAACCACACCTTTTACCATGAGCACAAATACTGCCCTTTCCATCTCTCTGGAGAAGCAAAACAAACCTGAATCAGGACAGAAAGGGCGTGCTCCCTCACTCTGAGAACGACCACTTATTCCTGGTACATCAAACCATCACCCGGCACATCCCTTACCAAAGCCACAACTCAGCAAAGCACATTTGCCTTGCTGAAAGACAACAATCTGCTGTATTATGGACTAAGACCCATATCAGTGCAAAGCTGAGCACATAAAGACTTTGCTGGATTTGAGTCGAAGTAACCTCTGGTCATATCGCCTATCAAAGGCTACAGGGACTGCCACTTTGCTGCCATGCCTCTGCCAAGTAATTAGATTTGGCTGCCCTAGTCCAGTCCCTTAATAAAGGTTTTGCTCTTAAAAGCATAAGACTATTACAAGGAAAACCCAAACAAAATACTGGGCCTAATGAGATAAAATACTGCATAGGGAAAGCTCTCTCCAGTGATCCAAGTGATGAACTACAAGTCCATTCGACTTCAAGAAAGAAGCGATAACAGCAGCAGATGGGGTCAGGCAGCTGCCGATGCATCGGTTGCAGGCAAGGTTGTCCAGGTGCGTGGGTCATGCAGGCAGCAACAGGGAGGTCATTGGAGCAAGAAACAACCATTTTAAAGAAAATACTTAAGTATTCCTCTATGTTGTAGTAAAATAGGGACCCAATCTCCTGCTGAGCTCCACGGGGCAGAGGGAATGGCTGGGTGGGTGGAGGGAGGTGAGAGTGGTCCAGCCCTTCTGAGCTGGCTGCACCAGTGGGACCAGGCACTGCGCTTTTACTGTTGCTTTTACTGAAATCCACATGAATTACTAAAAATATTTTCAGAACTGCTTTTAAAAGTCAAACCTAAACCTACGTTAAGCGAACAATGCCCATGCAAAGCTGTGTGGCCACTGGAAAGTCTAGCTGGTGCTGGCAGTCACAGGGAAAGGAACTCATGATTCTGCGGGCATCCTTTGTGAACATTGAGCTTGGTTTGCTGTGCAAAAAATGTCTCAAAAGGAAACCACAAGAGTGATCACATCTTCATCTGACAAACTGCATCAGACGGAGGGGGAAGAGATGAATGAGGAACTGTTAAATGGTTCTTTCCAGCTTTTGATTTTACAGCTCAAGCCAGGAGCGTTTTCTTCCCTTCAGATACTGAGAATTACTATATCTGTCAGGGAGAGGTTGCTGTGTGAGGTAGAATCAGGAATCCCCTTCTGCCATCAGTTACATTTGGGGATTTCTACATTGAAGTCACCATTCACCTGCCAGTCCCTTAGATCTTTGCCAGCACAAGGTCTGAACCCATGGCCTCAAAGCAGCTACCAGAGTCACAAAATGGAGCTGGACCCTCCTTTGGTGGTAGCTCATCGTGAAACCCCAGCGACGGCTGTCGGCTGGACTGGCACCAAGGGTGGTTCTCCATTGCCCCTACTCCCACCCAAACCAGCACATCCCAGGCAGCTCCCTCCTTTCCACACCAAAGGAACGTTAACGTCACACGCACAGCAAGGGTTACATCTCTGTGGTTTGATCCAACTGCAAGGGTTAAACACTTTTTAAAAGATGCAACAACAAAGCACAAGAAGGAAAACCACAAGAAGAAAACCCACCCGAACACCTAAACTCAGTCGTCCTGAAAGCCTCAGTCAAGGGCTTTCTGAATAACTCCCCGGGGCTCTTACACGCAGGCAGAGGCAGCTCATCCCTCCCATGACGGCAGGCTTGAAAGCCCAGAAAGGTTTCTGTTTGCTTTGTGAATCAGGGAGCGTCACGGTGGGGCATTGGTCCATGCTGCCCACACGGTCACCAGCACGGTGCAAAAAGGAGCAGACCCTGCCACATGCCACGGCACTGCCACGCTCTCCCAGGGCAGCAGTTACGAGCGTCAGGGCAGAACAGAAAGGCAGCAGAGACCTCGCAGGCAAACCCTTTTGGCTGCCTCCTCCATCCAAGCTCTCCATCTTGACATGGGTCCCATCTGGCAAAAGCAGCAAAGCAACTGCTCAGAAGGAGCCCGGGCACATGTTGTTTTACAAAACCTGCAAAAAATAGCAATGGCCATGCAGGCAGGTGGGCAGGAAACCTCCACTCACACCTCTCACCTGACTGTAGTCCCTGCTCACACTGGAAAGGAGCCGTAAATCTGAACTGTTTTAAGACACAGGTAACGGGACTGCAACAGCCAAGCAAAGGCCAGCTGGGGCTCTGAACCCCCAAGCTGGAGTGGTGAGGGAGAAGGGTCCCCGACATATCTGCCAGCAAATGTGAGACCTGGGCAAAGTGGTCCAAAGGGCTTTTAACCTGAGCTTCTACAGCCTGATCCTCAGCCCACCAAACAGAGCAAAAAAACTCCCTTTGAGCTCAGTGGGCTTTGGAACTGACTCTAAATACTGCACTGGGTCCCTGCACTTTTTAGAGTTAAGTTGATGTGTTTCTGTAGTTGTAAGTGCTCAGTTTTCACAGATTCCCTGTGAACGCAGAACCATGAAACAAGTGACTTTGCCATTGAATAAACCAGCTAGCAAATATATGCATGAATATTTTCGAAGCTGGAATAGCAGCATATTCCGTATTCTATCCCTGCTTCCCAATAGCGTCCGATCCCCTTCTGTACGACAAGGACGGTGAGCTCTCTGGGTGCGTGGTGGCAGATTTATGTTACGAGGGGCCTAACTCACCATCAGTGGGTCAACAACTTATCTACCTGTACCCAAAGCCAACACCACTGCCTACAGTTTGCCACGCGAGGAGGATTGAGGAGGATCCAGGTGGATCCAGACCAAGTTTTCTGGACTGAGGCAATGCTTCTAGGAAACAACTGCTGCCACGTGCCCAAACCCTGCCCAAAATGCCCCATCCACCCCAAGCTGGGTTCTCCAGATCCATACCCAGCCTCCCTTCTTCTCCAGTAACGGAGTCGGGGGCTTTCTCAAAGCCCTGGAAAGCACGCTAGCTCCCATCCAGCAAAACACCTAAGCATGTGGTTTAACTTTAAGCATGTGACGGCCGCTGGAATTGCTCATGTGCTTAAAGATAAGCACATGCTCTCACGTTGTGCTGTACAGGGCCTTGGCCGGGGCACCCCACCCCGGAGAGCCCCCCAAACACACCCGCCATGTCGGCTGGAAGGAGGGCAGCCAGGGGGGGACAGCACCTTCTCATCACCCCTTTCCTCCACTCACTGCCTGCATTTGGCACTGCTGAAGGTGACACAGAGCCAGCACGGGTGGCCGAGGGCCTCCGTGCACAGCAGAGCCCTGACGTGGGCGAGGACGAGCCCCCCTGGCCCGGCTCGGCTCGCCCGCAGGCTCCGGCCAAGCACCAGAGCCAGGAGCCGGCCGCGGTGAGAGCCGGACAGAACCTCCCCGCCGAGGGCTTTTGGGAAGGGCCAGGCATCGCCGACCATCTCCCGGAGCCGTGCACGTTTGCAGATCTTAGCAGGTAGAAGCCAGGCTCCTCCGGGAGGTGAATTAGTGGCTGCCCTTACCCCTCGGGCAGCCGGGCACCACGGCCCCAGCGAGCATCAGCGCGCAGCTCCCGGTGCTGCTTATTCAGAGACCATGGGCGAGCGAAGCTTTCCCGGAGGGGCTGCACAGCATATTCCACCTCCTGCTCTCCGCTCCGCGGTAGGAACTCGTCGATGGGAAACGGCCAAAAAAATATATGACATCCTTTCAGAAGAACAGGGGGAGCTGGGCAGGGCTGGCTGTCGGATTTCTTCTGTCACACACACGCACGCAGGCACGGAGCGTGGAAGGAAGGAAAATGTCCTCTGCCTCCTGATTTACACCCCACCGCCTTGCCCTTTCCTCAAGCACCAGGGACAAAAACCGGCGAGGGGCAGCGGCACATCCATCCCCGAGGAAACTCCCTGCGAACACCCGCGGGAGCCGGCAAACCCCGCCGCCCCGGTCGGGACCCGGCCACCCCCCGCCGCGGCCGCAGAAGCCCCGCACCTCGCACGACGCCCGCCGGCCGCACATCCCACGGGCACGGCACGCCGCAGCGGGGACACAGGCTCCAACGCCGCAAACGGAGGCTCCGCTCCACGCCGCGCGACGCGACGGGCACCGCACGTTGCACACGGGTGCTGCCCGGTGCCCGGTGCCGAACCCCGCCGGCCCCGTTATCCCGGTCGGGACGGGCCCGTTCTGCCTTACCCAGGCCGTCACCCGGAGGATGGTCTGCGGCTGCTTCAGGAAATCCACGGGGTCGATGGCTCCCCCGGCCCGGCCCGCTCCGAAGGAGGCTCCTTCCATCTTCCCGCTCCGCTCCCCGCCCTCCAAGCGAGCCCCAGCTGCGGCCCCGGGATGCGGCCGTGGACCCCGTGGACAGTCAGTGTCACCACGCCGCGGCCGGGGACACCAGGCTATGGCCACGGTCACCGCGCTGCAGCCAGGGACACCGTGCCATAGGCAGGGTCACTGCGCTACGGCTGGGGACAGCACGGTACGGCCAGGAGACCTCGCCACAGCCAGGGTCACCGTGATAATTCCAAGGATTACCGGGCTACGGCCGCAGTCACCACGCTGCTTCTGGGGATAGCGTGCTATGGGCCAGGGGTAGGGTGTTGTCAAAAGGGTCGCCGGGCAATGTCAAAGGGGCTACCTGTGCTACGGCCAGGGCAACCCACACGGCTGCAAGTACCTGGGCCATTGGCAGGAGGGAGATGCCGTGGGCCGGAGCGCTGGGAGGTCACCACGCTGCTCAGCTCACCTCTGCTGCCGATGCACACCTTGCTTCCCCTAAGATAAACACCCTTTCTCTGCCCAGACCCGCCGGTGTCCCTGCTGATAGCAGGGACGGGGTGGTTGTCACAGCAGAAAGGACTGCTGTCACCTCTTCTGGGGAGCGAAGAGGCCCCCGCCGCAGGCAGCACCGCCTCAACGCAGGCAGGGCTTTCGCACCTACGGCAGGAGCGAGGTGCTCCGCGGGCAGCTCGCTCGGGGGCCTTTGGCTGAGAGCAGCCTGCTACGTGGCAGAGGGAAAGGTTTGGGAGCTGATTCGCAGCAAGGCACGTCGTTACGCACCCATTAGCTGGTGCAAGAAAAGGGTAGCGAAGACTGATGGGGTCAAAGCTCTTGCTTTCCTCGTGCGGGAAAGGAAGCACCCAGAGCTGCCGTGGGATGAGAGGAGGCCAAGCCCTGTCCCCGCTCCCACCGCAGGGACAGTAGGAATGAGGAAAAAAAGAGAGGAACCTTACGGAGGGAAACCCTCAATTACTGCAAAGGGAGTTCCCCCCTGCAGCTCCAGGACCATCTCCTGAGTTAGTTTTCATAGCACCGTGATGATGATCCCGGTTCCATAGATACCGATGCCATGACAACTCTGACATCATCTCTGCTTCGGACGGGAGCTGCAGGGAAAGTCGCAGAGAGGAGTACGCATGCACCGCTGGCATGGAGCAGGCCTCCGGTCAGGGCTGGGGGGCTTCTTGTGGTTCCACCACCAGCTCTCCTCCTGACCTGCTGCCCGTACAGCCCCGTTTCCCCATGCAGCGACCAGTGCCGCTGCTAGATCACACGGGGTACATGTGTAGCAGGCAGGTTTAGCCCCTTACATGCAAAATGCTGCAACAAAGCGAAGGGTTCCCGTCTACAGCTCGCTGTGGCCTTTTGCAGCTTTGTCAGTCTGTTCTTTCTGGCAGGTGGAACCAGGATTTAACTGTTAAACCTCATGATGATGCCATTCAGCTTTTCTCAATTACAGGTGAGTCATCATCTCTCCAGATCTATTTCTGACTCTCAGCAGGAAAAGCAGAATTCAGCCTTTCGTTCCTCAATGTCACCAGCTCTGTAGAAATCACATTTTACTACGCAAAAAAAGAAATGGCTATGAAGAGAATGCCAGGTTGGTCCCTCCTGATTTATTCTGGCAGGGTGTCTCATGGGGCTGGCCAGAGATTGCACCCCAGTGTCAAGAGCATCGACAGCTCATCCCTGAACTGCAGGTTAAGAACAAAGACCATGTTAACTGGAAGGGATTACCATAGGTGAGATTCTCAAACAGCTTCAGCAGTTTAGAAGCAGCTGTTTCGGTGTCCTCAAAAATCATTTTTATGCTTTGGGAACAAACCATCCTGTATCCATCAGCCCAGAGTTATGCACGATGCCAAGGGCAGCCAGTGCCAGGGAGGCTCCCTTGTCCAGGCTGGGGTCAGCACACCCTGCACCTCATCCTGCGACCGAGTGTCCCTACAGCCATTGCCACGCCGTACATCCCAGGTGGGTCTGTGCAATGTGAACAGCTCGCGTACGTATAAGGCTGTGGACAGACCCTCAGAAAACCAACGGCATTAAGAAAGCTGTGGGGTAGGACATACGTGCAGGAGGACAGCGTGCTCCTAGGGCTACTGCACAGGGAATCATCTAGACCTCTGGGGTCTGCTCTTGGTTTTCTGATGACATTTCTGATGACAATCCTCCCCCCTTTGAAAATGTCTTGTCCAGCTCATCTGTCCCAACTGGGACAGCCATATTTCGGACAATGCAAAGCACAAGGGACCAAGATACTACCTGAATCTTTTAGATGCTGTCGTAGAACAAACTGTAACCGTTTCCAGACAGATACATGGTTTATACACTTCAGAGCATGACCGTGATGCACCAGGCAAGATCCCCACTGAAATCCCTGCTTCTAAACTTGTCCTCTTTCTTTGAGGTTCATCTCTCCAACTTCTGCTGTGTGCAGTATGTTTATACAATCATTTTTCATGTCGTGCTAGCTTTTTTCCCCTGCTACAGTGCAGATAAAGTGCAGAAGCTATCTCTAGCCTACATGCAAACTGTATTTCTGTTTCACTTCCTATTGCTGCAAATAAGCTAACAGATACACAGAGCCAGCCAATAACGGGAAAGAATATTGCATCTTGAACATTTTCCCCATCAAATGGGGGAAAAGAACACCGTTTGGAAATAGCACTTTCCAGAGCATTTGTTCAGTTTGAACAAGTTCTGTCTGCATTTACCATTCCCCCTGGATTTCAGTGACAGGGAGCAAACCGAGCAGCATGTGCACAAGTGCCCGAGTTCTATTGTGTTTTGATTTTACAGTAGTTTAATTAAGGATAGTGGAAAACATGGGTTTGCCTCCTGCTTCTTGTAGTCACGCTGACTTCTTAATCTTTGTCTCCAACACAAAAAAAGCAATCAGGTTTTTACCTGGGTTAAGTACATGGACATGACAACCTTGAGACAAGATGTGGGGCTTTCTCCTTCTTCAAAGCCTGTTTGAGCCAGTCCTCCGCACTCGGCTAAGGGCTGATTTCAACTAGCTCTACAGAGCTAAGAGTGGTGATGTTTTTCAAGGGCATATGGCTGAACATAACCCATTTATGAAAGCTTACCAAGTTACCTGTTGTCAGCTGAACGACTGTAAGCAATGCTAGCATTGGTCTGTGAAGCAGAACGTATTTGCAAAAATTTCCAAGCAGATGGCTGAGGCCAACACAGCCTGCTTCACAGTCCCAGCGCTGTGATCGCTGGGATCAGGACCTGGCCCATAGGAAGCCCAGTAATGGACAAGATGAGTTAATATGATTTCTTTAGCAGGACTGACCATATTTTCTCTGTGGCAGAGGGTAGCAGTGGGATGCTCCTCATTTGGCAGGCAAAACAATCAGCCATACTTTCTACTTAACATCTCTAAAAGAAAAGTGATGTGAAACTGCCCTGCTCTCAGAACAGCTTTGACAGTGTATTTATAGTGAAGCTGCTCCAGCTGAGCAATCCAAATAAGCAGAATACAGTCTCTCTGCAGCATGTGGCCCGAGGGAGCCAGCCAGGCTCCAGTCACAGTTTACAGCCCACCGACTTCAGCAGCTCTGCGAGGTCTGACGCTGTCTTTTGCACAGGCATGGGTGGTAAAACAGCTTGCCCTCCACATTGCCTGGGCAGCACACTTGAAGCAGTACTTTGATATATGTTCATTTACTTGTTGCTCTGAAATGCTCTGCTTGACATTCATTAGAGTTTAGCTAATGTTGCTTTCAGCCATTAGTCTCTAGAAAAAACAGGAGAGCTGATGGAAATATTTGAGAGGTGCTTAGAAACTCATAGTGTCCAGTAACAGAGAGAATGGACTTCCTGATTAGCAATACCTTAGCACGCTATCACGAGAAAGCTACTTAATGCTCTCCACCCTAAGAGATCCAAAAATATCTGGAAGATCATTTATTAGCTGGTTACTCATCCACTTCTGAAATGCAGCCATTTCTCAGGTGGGATTCAGCACTTACTGTGCAAGTATAAACGCAAGATAAGCATGCTATTAAAAAAGGCAGAAAACTTTACTAACTAAAATCACCAGGGGAAGATTTGGATAGCAGAATTCCATTAATTGAGATAGTATTTGTTTTAAGCAGAAGAGTTAATATCTCAGTACTTGCATAAAACCCAAACCGAACAAAAACCCCAAAAGGATTTCAAAATGCTTTCCAGTTTGCAACTGCAGGCTTGACGTCTCATCTAGTAAACATATTCTTTGCTTCTTCTCAAAATATTTCATAGCACAAAAAGTTTGGGATTTTTGGCAAACCAGTAATCTAATCTGATTCAGTCGCTGGGCTGAACTCTGCTACGTGAAGGTGCACAACACCTTGGGAGGAGCTAGACGAAAGGGAAAAAAGATCCCTAGCTGTTTTCCAAGCTGACCTCCTTAGGACCACAACAGCAAGTCACATCGTGTAGGGCCTGACCAACAAGTTGACTTTGGTGCTTGTCATCTGCTACCTGCTCGATGTTGCAGCTAAGCAGGTATGGTAATGCGAGCAGAGCTGACAGCTACAAGGACGTGGAGCAGCCTCCGAGCAGCTCGAGCCATGCTCTGACATGCAGAGCTTCTACAATTCTCATTTGAGCTACATCAAGCTTTGCTGCCAAAGAAGCTCTCCCAGCTCAGTCCTTTTGTTATTATAATTTCTGCTCATATTACACAAGAACACAAGATCCACAGCGCAAGTTCTGGGGGAAAAAAGGGCCACGAGTTTTGCGTAATGAATGTGGTATTTGTAGTGATATACTGAAAATAAGAAACGCTTCATCTCTTAACTGAACATAGCAAATACTGAACAGGTCCTCAGATTCAAAAGAAAGATGTAACCTGACATAAAGAGAATTTGTGGGACAGATTGAGTGATTTTATCGTAGTGAACAATCTCAGGCCCAGGACTGTGCAGTACGAGCACATTAAAATAACCTCCCTGAAAGAGATTGTCATCTAAATAGGAAATACAGGCAAAGGCTGCTGAAACCGCTGTTTTTATCCCCATTTTGCAGAAGTGGAAGTGTGGCTACAAA